TAAAGTACAGAAAGACACGCGATCACATACATATAATACAGTCAGTGGGGGTGGTAACAGGCTGGAATGTGCTACTCACAGATATTTCCCAACACAGTGAAGGGAGGACCATGACTGTTGCATGGGAAGAGACTCTTCAATTAAAGGTTGACTGAGGCTTTGCCAGGCAGGTAGTGGGAAAAGACTATGCCTAGCAGAGGCAACAGGACAGACAGAAGCCTGCAGGCCTGGCAAGGTACAGCCACTCTTGGGAATGGTCAGTAATACAGAGTAGCTGGACAGGGGTGGTAGCCTTTGTGAAGCAGTTTGACCTTATCTGGCTCAGTTTTAAACAAAGTGTAAGCTGATTTTTCTCATTTAAGAAGATGTAGTGCTTGTATCTGATATAAATATGAATTAAGTCTGTAACCTAGCTGCATGGATTAGATAAGATCTATTAAAATGGTTTTGATTAAGAAAAAAAGATGTAATAAAATAATAAATAAACAGAGTGTAGAGAAGAGTTGAAAAATGATTGTTTCCAAGCCCCTGGCCTAGAGAGGATGAATTCTTGACAGAGGACACCAATGAGAATGGAAAAGATGAATTTAAACAAGAGGACAGAACCAGGATTTGGGGCCCTTGAGTTTTGAGGAACAAACGAGATAATAGTTGTGAAAAATACATTTTTGAATAATATATATAAGGAGATAGCCTTGTTTCCATTTGATTCTAAACATGAATAAGGAGGCTCCATGCTCCTGTACAGCAGAATTACCCTGATTGTGGGGCCATTTGATAGGATGGTGACAGCACCATACGATGTGGTAGCTCGAATGCAGTTTCTCCTTCTCTCCCTCCCTCTCAGCTCCCCACCTGACCGTCAGTACCTCAGTACCGACAGCTGGTGCCTTTGTGTTTATAGTAAACAACGAGCACTATGAGAGTTAGCTTTTACAGCCAGTTGCTCACAAGAGCAGAGTACTATAAAAGAGAGTTTTAAAGCTGGAATATAGATTCCATCCCATCATTTTCCCAAAGAGTAAACTGACATCCAGATCATCCAAGATGATCATCCAAGGTGATCATCCAAGAGCAAGTGAGAGAGAACTACGATTGATCAGGTGCTTTGGAAAACTTTGCAGGAGCTCTTTGCTGCTATCTTTGTAGGATGTGCTTGTTGACTGGCACTAGGAGAAAAATGAATAATCCAGGGTACTTGTAACTCAAGGAACAGCCCTTCAAAAAAAGCACAGGGAGGTCCTAGATGGGTCCCATATTCCGTACTCAACTGGCATGTCAATCAGCTCTCAGGGGTAGGAGCCTTCATCTTCTTCAGTATGGACCTTTCTAGTTTAAAGAGCAGAAATTTTTGTCTTGTGGGTAAACAGTCCTGTTATACATGTCAGAGAAACTCATGGATCTTTTTGTTGTAGAAGGTTATGTCAACAACTCTGATGAAATAGTTATGAATCTGTCACTGTGTCATCTGCAGCACAGTTTGGTTTGGAAGAATGGCTGAACTCCTTGTTTTGAATACCTGGAAGGATTGCTTATATCCTCTGTTAGTATTATTTGTCGTGGTCTATAGCTGCTACCTTATCTATGCAAGTGGTCAGCTGTCCTCTGCTAGGGCAAGACCTGTACAGTTTCCTTACAAACTATCTCCTTAATGATGACCATCTCTCACCATGGATGCTACTCATTCCATGATCCAAATCTGCAGGGCCATCTTTTAACAAAGTGTTTGTGAATGCTGTGCCTGCTGGAGGCAGGGGAAGAGCCCTGCGCCTCCTGGCAGCCCATCTTCCACATCTCTGAGCCTGATGGGAAATGTACACATGATGGCTCAGGGGCAAGGTGAGAATGGGACCAGGAGTACAAAAAACAAGTGAGAAGAACAAAGTTGTGATGGAACAGCCAGCTTATCAACGACAGTTTGCCCTGGGCTGCATACTTGTTCCTCGTCTAAGGTACTCATTATGTTGACACCCTAAGGGTATAAAACATCTGTGATCCCACCCTCTGCTTGCCATGGAGAGAAACTCATGCTTATCCCAAGAAAGAATCTCTTACCTTTCTGTGTAATTATCACAAAATGTTCCACACACACACAAAAATAGATTTTTTTAAAGATCAGTTACCCTTAAGACATCTAGCGAGCTAGCTTTTTGTGTATTTGTTCCTAGTCTGCCTAACACTTCTCAGCTAAGGAAAAATAATATTCTCTATCTCTCTCTTTTTCTCCTAAAAGTTACCATGTGGCCACTGAATATTAGTGCCCCATTGTCTCCCTTATTCCTCTCTGGTTCATCTTTTATCTGAAACTCTTTCTGCCTCTTTTTGTTATTTATTACAAGCTGCCAAAATTTTCTTCTGTGGATCAGAGGGGAAGAACTATTTCTGACAAAGCTTCAGCCCATGCTCCTGGTCATCAGGTTTACAGTTCCCTTGTAAGGACTGGGCAAGATTGGCATTCTGAGTTCACATTTCAAAGCAAAAAAAAAAAAAAAAATCTAAGTATTGAAGCAGAATGTCCTAACTGTATATACAAAACTAAGTCTCTGCCCTTGAAATGCAAGTCAGAATGGGACGAACAACAGAAGCACGAACACAAAGGGATGTTCAGGTGACCTGTAATATGAGTTACTGCTCAGCCACCAACTGCAAGGAGAGTCACGGAGGCAAAAACGGCCCTGTGCATATAATTATCGTGGTTATGAAAGCATTTAGTAAGTATGCTGCTAGATTTTTGTCTCCTTCTTTCACATATTTTGGAAGCACAGTATGAAAATTTCTTTAATGGTTTCCAAACTTGTCAGTGAAATTTCATTTGTAAGGGGTTTTAAGAAAATGTCTCCAACCTAATTAACTCCAAGTTTAATTCAACATTTTCCCTTTATTTACTATAAGTATCTTGAGGTTTAAACTTTTGAAGAATCTGTATATATGTTATGGGAATGTAATTAATCATCTGTAGAGCACACAAATCCCAGCAAGACACTTCATCAAAGTATCTCATCTTGCTTATGATCCTTTTATCCCAACAATTTTGCTTGGTTTCTGATTTCACTGAATTGGGATCAAATCAATGCACTCCTCCCACTGCATAATTAGAACTGCTTTAAAACTATGTAATTACAAACCTCAGCTGCAGATTGTGCATTGCATTCATTGTCAACATTGCCATTAGCATGGTTTTAAATTCTTTCAGAACAGTGAGGAAAGATGTCATGTTAATAAGTTCCACGGCTGTCTATGTCTGCTATTGATTATCTGCAGCAATTACAGAGTTGGATGGTATCCAAAACTAGGCACAAAACCTGGGGAAATGCCAGTGTTTTATGAATCTAAAGGAATTTTTAAGGGAAAAAATTTTCAAAACAATAAAACCGTGGATGAAAGAGTTAGTATACAATTTTAAATTTAGGCAATTTTGCAATCTTGATTTTATAAATGGGTACAGATCTCATCTATTGGTCTTCCTGGGAGGGGAAAAGTATTTTGGGTCATTATCCACTCTAATTTTGATTACCTTCTACAGAGTGAAATTATAGTACTTCCTGAAGGTGTTCCAAAGCCTTTTCTGACAGCTTCTGCTCTATTCACTCCCAGTGCCATGCCAGCCCACAGACCCCTCCCTTAACCATGAACTTCTTCTCTGAGTCCAAGTTCCTGACTCCCTCCCCTTCCTTGGAATCTAGGGATGGTAGGCCCACTTAAAATTGATGTAAAGTCTTCCTCATCCAGAACGTTCACCCTGATGAGATTTCGGTCACATATTTCCCACATATTTCCCTTTATTTACTAGAAGTATCTTGAGGTTTAAACATTTAAAAATCTGTATATATGTTATGGGAATGTAATTAATCATCTGTAGAGCATGCAAATACAAAACAAAAAAGCCTTCTCATGATTGAAAAAAAAAACCTCACATACTCTCTCTTTTGACGTAAGGTGTTCATAATCCCCATGTAAAAAATTTCCTTTGGAGTAAATCTTTGGTGTCTGGAAGCTCACATATCGAATGGTAAACTCTTTGATTTTGCTGGTCTCCAAACCTGAGTCACTAATTTAAATCCACTTTAGCTGTTTTCATCAAGTTTCTTTGTTAAATCTCTTTACACAATCAACATGTTTTGTTATTTTATAAATTACTACTTTGAGAGAAACAAAAAAAACTATATATAACAAATTCAGAAGCTCCAATCAAGTTCTAGCCTGTAATTATCTAAATATATTTTTATATATTTTATCTCTATATATTATCTAAATATATATGTGTGTGTATACACACACACACACACACACACACACACATATATTTAGGTCATTATAATTTCCTGCTATGCATCTCTAGATGTTTATAAATGAGCTGAATTATGGTGGGAAGAGGTCCCAGTGGATCTTAACAACCACAGTAACTCTCTTGTAATTTGCTGAAAACAAGTGGTATTCATCTACTCTTTTACTTGAAGTTCATAATGAAAGCAAACAGGTAGATTTTTGTTAAGAATCTTCAGGTTGGTAGATCATAGGCTTTGAAACTAGATAAATGCATATTTCAGACTACAGAGATAAACTTCTGAAGCAAAGAGGGTGGGCAAAAAGCCAGCTTTGCACAAATTGCAAGTTTAGTCTACCTGTTTGAATAAGTATTTTCAGCCAGTTGTTAGTAAGGTGAATAATGGACACTGAAAAGAATTACTGTTAGCATTGTGACTTACTCTACTCTGTGAGGATGCACTGAAGTAAAAACAGAATTTGAGAATAATGAACTGGTACTGCTTCCTTTCTTCCTCGAATTTGGTTTGTAAATATGGATATCCAGCTATTTGGTTCCAATCTGGTGTTGGTAGTTTCTAGAAACTTTCCAGATTTCTAGCAGCTTTCCAAGAGGAGCTGTAAGGTTACGTGGCAAATGATTAACTCTGTCACCCTGGATTTTGCAATGCCTGCTTTTAAGTAAGATGAGCTTCAGTCTTGCAATGGAAAAAAAAATACAGAAGTCACCTGAAGTCTTACAGTGCAACAATTTTAATAGTCCACACTAAAGTAGGCAATACAGTTTTGTAGTTCAACATTAAAAGCAATCTTACCTTACTTAAAATGTTTCTGCTTAAGAATGCTTCCTGCTCTCTCCTATCCCTTTCCTTAAGGTATAAGTCTACGGAAGTACTCCTAAAGTGCATTTCTCAGGCATTAAAGACAGCACTGTGATTTGCTTTGCAACAGCAAGTCCTGAATCAGAGAATGCCTTCCTCACTGGAGGGGCTGCGCAATTCCAGTTGAGCTAAGGTCTCTTAGAGAAGTACCCTTCTCACTCGCAGAGGTGATGCTAGAGAGGCCACGGGAGCTTTTTGAAAAAAAAATTATTTCAACTTCCTCTATGTATATTCTTTTACCGCGAATAAATATCTAAGGCATCCTTGAGTTAGGAAATATTGACCACTCAGTTGACAACTTCAATTTCCAGGAAAATAAAATCTGGAGGCCTTGTGCGAATGCTCTGAATTTGGTGGGTGAGACACCAGGTGCAGAGGCGGGTCAGAATTCTCAGGTTTAGAACTGGGGCTGGGGAGGAGTGGCGGGAAGAGAGACAGTCTTGGAGCGCTCTGGCTATTGCTTACTTTCGTGAGGGTCACCAGGGGAGCCCGCCTCCTCCGAGGACCTGACTCCCTCGGGGAGCAGAGTGGCGCGCACTTTCCTCTTCTCCTTAAAGCGGCCTGAGCGCGAGATCTTTAAATTCCGGCGGCTGTTGCCCGACTTCTCCTCGCACATCTTGTCCGGCCTGTGGGGCTCTCCGGCGCCCCCGAGGAGATTGGGGTGCTGATTCTCCTGGGAACCGCTAGTCCAGTCCGGGCCGGACGGCGCGGGTTCCCCGGGGGCAGGCTGCGCGGAAGGCTGCGCGGCCCCCAGGGTGTACTTGCTCTTCTTCCTGCTGCTCGTTAGCGAAGTCCACCAGGAGCTGGAGCTGCTGCTGCCGCCGCCGTCGGCCATGGCCCGCCCGCCGAGGAGAGCGGGACGCGGCGGGTAAGGAAGGGCCTCGGCGGCACCGGCCCTTCTCTAGTCCACCCGGGCCCTTCCCTGGCTTCTCGAAAGCAGATTGAGGGCAGGCGCCGAGGCAGCGGCTTGTGCTGGGGAAGAAAACAGAACTCCGTTACTGGGTCTGTCAAAGTCACGTGCTTCCCTCCCCCCACTTACGCCCTTTCGCGCCCGCCCGCACGGGATCCGCCGGGGTCCGAGCGCTCGGAGACGCACAACCATCAGAGGGCACCGCCGCGCCCCCAAGAGCGCAGGCGGACAAACGGCCTCCAGGGCGCCAGGGTCTGGTCCCAAGACTGAGTCTTGGCACTCCCGGGCCTCAAGACCTTGCCAGGCTTCCAGGATAGTGCAGTGGTCAGCGCGCGAGGAGCTTCCAGGGTAGGTGCCCGGGCTTCCGGATTAACCAGGCTCCAGTGGGAAAACGGCTTGTGCTTTCTGCTTGATTGTAGACGGATGCCCACAGGTGACCCACCCGGTGCAGAATGGCCTCCCCTTGAATGAGCACCCGGGAGGAGGACGCCTAGAAGCGAGCGCGACCCCGCTACGGTGAACAATGAACATTAGACCGTTCTCAAACAGTTCTGAAATTTCCCTCAAAGGCTTTTGCTCCCTAGACTTCTGTCCCAGGATACGTTTCAATGTGATTCTTCAGGGGAATTTACCTGCCAGTAAGAGTGAGGGGATAAGCTCATGGTGTTTTGTTTCTTACACATTCTGCTTTTGACGTAACTTTTGCCTTGTGACTTTCAGAGAAGCGTGTCTAGACTTAACTTCCCTTGAAAACCGCCACCCTACACTTCCTTTATTGCCCAGAGACCAATCTTGGCGTCTCTGCGAAGCTACCCCCGGTCGGTGGTTGAGATGAGCCCAAGAGGCAAATGTCCTCTTCCTTTAGTTCTGTATTAAAATATGCACCGAGTCTGTTTGTATTAGGCAGCTCAACTCTTGGGATTTTGGGTTACAAATTAAAGGCTTCTGTTCTTTTCCTTGCGCAATTCCCCCCTCCAAAGGAGAGAGCGCGCAACCAGTAACTCCAATTTGCCTCTTCCCAGCTTTTAAAAACAGCACTCTGCGGAGCGAAAAGGCTGTTTATTAGCATTTAAAGTATGATTATCGGAAGCGAGAGTCCTCTGCCCACTTTCTGTACTGAGTCTATCCATCACTAACTCCACGAATAAGCAGGATTCGCTGGCGCCGCGGCTCATTTCCAGGTTTCCGCTGGGCTCCTTCCCATCCTACGCGCCCGTCGCTCCTGGGATTCGCCGGCGCTGGAGAGCAAAACTTTGGCGGTGTTTGTGGTTGGAGTTTCTCCTCCCCCAGCCGAGGGGAGAGAGCCGGAGCGCCTCCGCGAGCCGCCACAGCGGCCTCCGCTGAGCGCAGAGACCTTGGCACCCGCTCCTTCCCAGGACGCCTGGAGGGCACATTCGGGCTGCGACTTGAAAACAATAGAAGAAAAAACGGCCTAAAGTTCTTTCCCTACGGAAGGCATCCACACCCTCAGGCACAGTTTGCAGCTGGGTTTGCAAACATCCTTCTCCCTCCGCTTTATAGTATAGATAGGAAAAATACCCCCAAGTTACTCACTAGTGGTGGGTGTTCCGATGCTGCTTTCTGCCTTCTGCCCTACACTTTCTTCTCCACAATCAACTTTGTGTGCACAGAGGGACTTTGCACGAATTACTCAAGGAAAGATTGCAAATTACGCAGAGCGCCTGCAGCTAGCAATATCTCCTAGGGCGCTGGGGGAGAGCCCCAGGGTGATACCCCAGAATGGGCTCTGTCTTGTCGGACACAGAATCGCTTAGATCTCACCTGCTTAGGCTTCCCAGGACCCGGCAGCTCCGCACCTCCCTCCTCTTGGAGAACCGGGAGGGAGTGCACTTGGGGTAACCTGGAACCCGGAACGCGACGTACCTCTACGCGGTCATGGGCAGGTCGAGCTTCTTTCTGAAAGGTGTGCCAGCCGAAATCGCCGCAGGCCAGCTAAACCGATTGCTGTTGCTGGTTTCCTCTGTCGCCTCCAACTTCTTCCTGGCGCGGCGGCGGCGGCAGCCCAGGGCTTCAAGTGAGGTCGGCTCCGAAGAGCGCAGCGGCGAGTGGATACCAGGCTCACTGTCCCAGGTGAATGGCCAGGCAGGCTCTCCTGCTTAGTGGCCTTTCATTCTCCGGCGCGTTCCTTTCCCCGCTAGCGCCTCCTGGGAGCCGCTGGGAGATGGGACCTCAGCTGCTCCCTCTGCTGCATTGAACCTTCCTACGCGTTGGTCCTCAGCTCGGGAAAAGACATCTGCCCACCTGCTGGTTATTCGCCAAGTGGTTAGAAAAACAAGAACCTCGGGGCAGCTGGAAGGAAAAAAAAAATCCAGGGGGCGGCCACTGCTGCCACAGGTGCAGGTTGGAGTGCGCGTTCCCGCCCTCCAGAGGGAGAGATTGGACCAGGTCGCATACGTGGCGCCAGCTTTGGGGTGTCTGATTGGAGAAAGACTGTGCTGCGCCGCTCGCGAGTCGAATCCTTGTTAGAGGAAACAGGAGAGGAGACCGGAGGCTAGGAGACCGAGGCTGTAGGTGGGCTCCGGTGGATAAGTGTTGCAGGTCTCCTTCTGCCCTTACTCCGATTTCTTTTTTCCTTTCCTCTCCGGGTCACCAATCGTGGCCACTCAGCTCCGGAATCTCAGGTTTTTTAACTCACAGGAGCGTTTCCATATCCAGGCAAAATGTTGCAGAGTTGCAGGCGCCCAGATTTGAAAGGCTGTAGTATTAACAAGTTCGTTATGTGCCAATCAGGCGCTGTTCCAAGAGCTTCCTGTGGATTAACTTATTTACTCCTCCTCACAGCAACCCTAGGAGGTAGGTACTAGTATTATCCTCACGAAATACGCGAGGAGAACTTAGCTCTGAAATGTTAAACGGTTGCCCAAGGTTGCACGGCTGGTACGTAGCAGAGCCGGATTTGTACCCAAGAGGTTTGACTCCGGCTCCCGCGGTCTTAACCCTCACGTTATACTGCAGCCTGCCAGGACTGGACTCTTATCACGACTCACTGAGGATGTGAATCTCATTCCGTTAGGTCTGGAAGTCCGCGGACAGCCGCCCCACCTGGGGAGTACAAATCCAGCCCTGAGCTGAAAGTGAAGGGAACCCGTGGATTGCATCAAAGTTCAGGAGGCTTTTGCTCCCAGGAAGATATGGGTGCTTTTTATTAGTTGGACAGAAAGGCTTTGAGATAGGACATTTTCACTAACAATGGCAGAGGTGCGTCTTTTTCAGATAACTATTTTGATGTTTCCTGAGCTCAGGGGTACAACTCCTCTGGAGGACTGGGTATGGAGCAACTGACATCCCAGCATCTTTGTTCTGAGGGCTTTTTCTTTTTTATTAAAGTATAGTCAGTTTACAGTGTAGTGTCAGTTTCTGGTGTACAGCATAATAGTTCAGTCATACAAACACATACATATATTCGTTTTCATATTCTTTTTCATTGTAGGTTACTATAAGATATTGAATACAGTTGCTTGTGCTATACAATATAAACTTGTTTATCTATTTTATATATAGTAGTTAGTATCTGCAAATCTCCAACTTCCAATTGATCCCTTCCCACCCCTTTACCCCTGGTAACCATGAGCTTGTCTGTGAGTCTCTTTCTGTTTTGTAAATAAGTTCATTTGTGTCTTTTTTTTTAGATTCCACATTTAAGTGATATCATATGGTATTTGTCTTTCTCTAGCTTATTTCACTTAGAATGGTGATCTCCAGGTCCATCCATGTTGCAGCAAATGGCATTGTTTTATTCTTTTTTTATGGCTGACTAGTATTCCATTGTGTGTGTGTGTGTGTGTGTGTGTGTGTGTATAAATAAAATATTTATGTATATATATAAAACAACTTCTTTATCTGGTCATCTGTTGATGGACATGTAGGTTGTTTCCATGTCTTGGCTATTGTGTAAATAATGCTGCTGTGAACATTGGGGTGCATGTATCTTTTCGCATTAGAGTTCCCTGTTTTGAGGACTTTCTGAAGTAGTAAAAGTAGTGAAAGACATGATGCTTTCCTCAAATAACTTACAATATGAAATTAATAGAAATAAATTTTTATGGAGTATTTCAGTGCATGAAATATGATAAAAACATGCATACTTCTTATCGTTAACATCTTAGCTCAGTGTTCTTGGATTTTTAAATGATATGCACAGCAGCGTGTCTTTGAAAGTGATGCATTTTTATTTATTCGTTGGGATTAGTTTTAGAGAGAAAACTTGCCATTCTAGCACCAGAACTGGACAAAGTCATCACAGTGCCATCCCATTATAGAGACGCCACTGGGCCAAGGAGGAAGACCCTTGTCTGAGGAGTCTTCACTGCTAGCAAGGGGTGGAGCTAGATTGCTACATTGTTGATCAAATGAGTGAAAGGAGGAAGATATTTAGGAAAAGAAAGTGAGTCCTGCCAAGTGGCTCCTCATCTAGCATGATCTAAAAGAGTGCCAGAATTTTCTTAATAAATGAACATCTACTAATTGCTGAAATAAAAACATTCATTCCTTTCCATCACTCCCATTTATATTTAACAACATGGAATATTTCTGTGTTTCATTGACTTGATAACACCTTCCAAATAACCCTTGCATGAGGCAAAATTTTTAAATGGAGACATGATAGCTATGGAGAAATGAGGCAGAAGGGACTAAGGAGGTGCAGAATGGTGATCACTCCAGACAGAGGGAATCATGTGTGCAAAAGCTGTGAGATGGGCAGGAGCTTAGGATTTTTAAGGAGTGAAGAGAAGGCCAGTGTGATGGGAATGCAGAGCGAGCTGAGGCACCACAGGAGACAAGTAGGAAGGTGGGTGTGACCTGACCATCCTGGACCTTGTCACTGGTAGGATTTTTGAACATAATCCATTAAAGAGGAAGGGACATGGTAAGATTTGCATTTATAATATCATGGAAGCTGTAAAGAGTGGATGGTGGAGGGGACAAGGTGGGGCCGCAAGGAAACCAGTTAGGAGTTGCTTTAAAACAAAAGAGGAGCCTGAGTTTAACTAGAGGCTTAAAAGAGACTTTTACAACCTTCCTTGTAACTGGGAGTACCCATGTGATCCAGTTCTGACTTATGGGGCAATAAGGAAGACTTCTGGAAATGTTTCTTCCCTGAATAAAGGACAGAGTCTTCCGAGGGAAGATCATCACTTGCAATACCCTTGATTCTTATGGTTAAGCACAGCGTGAGGGTGTGCAGCAGCCGCTGTGCACCAGTGAGACAACGGGCATGGGAATAAAACCTACACCCTAAGGATGAAGGCACAGGAGGATGAGAAGTGTCTGGGTCCTTGATGACACTGGTGAGCCCCTGAGGACAACCTTGGAACCACCTATCTCCTGATTACTGGTTCAGTGAGATAAAATAGATTTCCTATGATTTAACCACAGGTTTAAACACAGTTTTCTCTTACTTGCAACCCAAAACAGCCCTCCTTGGTACAGTCTAGTAGAGCTATAGAAAAAAAATGATATTGTTCAAAATGCAAAAAGGTAGTGTTGTCACCTTATTTTTTCCCTGACCAATCTGAAAAGTTTTTCATGGAAGAAGGATTTATTAAAGTGTTTAAGTGAGGGGAAAGATTTTAAAGGTGGCAAGTGCATCTGTAAAATAAGGCATTTTCACTGAAAAAACCTGGAGTTAAGGGAATGAGTAGAGAAAGGTATGTGTATATGCACTGATGAAAAAGCTGGGGTAAACCCCCAGTGAGGCTCGTCAGATTATCTGAGGCATCATGGTAATTTGACTTTTAAAAACAGTTTCAAATCAAAACAATTAAGGCTTATCTTCCTCCATTTTTGGAACCCAGAACTGTTTAAATTTATAAAAATTTTCATAAGCAAACTCATGCGAAAACAAAAAACAAACAAACAAACAAACAAAACCAGACTAAAAGTCAGCCTCACACAAGAGGGTTGGTTAGTGTTAGACAAATATAGTTGTGTTCCGTCATAATTGATCTAGGGTCCTGCTGATTGTTTCTGTAAGAGGGACATGGGCTGGTCCTAAACTTCTGTGTTGGTCAGCTGGGGATCATATAGTGTAGATGCATTTAAAAGTTGATTTTTTTCTACCCAGTGAATAGCAGGTGACTTTCAATGTTTACAGAATTTAGATATGCCTAGACTGGGCAATGCTTACATTTCTTTATAATATTTTTCTTGTCATTTTTTATTTTTCAAAAATGTGTTGATGGTTGGAGAAGGGACACAATTTCTTTTTTTTCTTCTCTTCTCTTTTAAAAAAAAATTCAATTGCTTCTTTCTCAGGTGACCCTTTAAATACAATAAATGATTATATTAAAAGATAATAGAAAATGAATTGCTAGAGAGCACGATTTTCATACCAGGAATTAAAATAGGAAATGCCAGGTTTAGAGGTTAAACCTGGCATTTAAAACCCTAGCAAATTTGGGATTGCGTTAGAAACTGAGAAACTGATTCTCTTCCTTTAAACCATCTGTGGAGGGACTGGACAATGTAAAGCACACGATGAGGAAATTTAAGAAATACAGATAATCTAAATGAAGAAAATAAAGATCGTTTATATTCTTTTCACCCGAGGATAACATGAGGGTGTGAGTCTTTTTACTCTGTTTGCCCTCAGTTTTCGCCATTCATCTTCTACCTTTCTTCCCTACCCTCCTTCCCCCTTCCTTCGTCCCTTTCTTTTGTGGACTCTTACCTTCTTTGAAAACTAGATATATATCTCCCACTGCCTGTTCCTTTATAGTCACCCAAGTGCTGATAGTTGAACATTTCTTTCCTTCTTTCCATCAGTGCTTTTGGATTTAGTTTGTAAACTTTTAGAGAGAGGGCACTGCACCCATGTCTGAAGTTGGAATCCACTGTTCATAGCATCTCATCCTGTACCCTGTCGGGTCAACATGAATGCACATCTAGAAGTATAAAATTTACATTCACAAAATATCACTAATCATGTCCGTTACACTTGACCTAAGCAAGGCTGGCTTGGACAGTGTGGTCTTCTGGAATTCAGTCAATGCCAGCAGACTCTTTCTAATGCCCCATACCTCCTTCCTTTGTGACTCTTGTTCCTTGGGATTCTTAGATATTATTGTACACTCCTCATTTTCCTTAAAAAAATTATTTGTAAGAAAATTTAAGATCTAAGACAAGGGTCACTTATTCTAGACAGGATTTTCAAGAGCTTAGGGGTACTGCCAGCCAGGACCACTTTATGCTAAGTTCATGGCTTGAGGATTCTTGGACAACCGACAAGAGACTCCCCGGAGCACTAACCTCTAGTCACACCCTCCAGGGACAAGTCCACTTGTATTTCCCCTCCCTACTCCCCAGATCTTTTCTATTCCAAATTAACTTAATTGTCCACAAAGGCAGGTCCTGTCGGGCTGGGGAGGGAAGGGTAGACTTTCCTTCTGGGCTGCCCAAACCTTGAGGGTATGGCCCTTTGGGGGCCTACACTTATTAAGGGAAGGATGCTCTTTTTGGACGAGCCCTATGCTCGCTTATAATTCTGTCCGCTTTGCTCCAGGAGGCTATCAAAACTGAAGTTGTTTTGGTGCCCAATTGTTTTCAGAAAGCAGGAGAATTCGTCCAAATAACCAAGCCTTGCCACTGACAGGATTAGGTGTGCTTTAATTTTATTGTAAATTGTTTGCTTCATGTTTGTCCCCATGACTAGGGTATAATTTTCTTATTTATTTATAGTCTGACTCCCTCACTAGGAAATGAGTTCCATTTTATTTAATGATCATTTACAAAGCACTTTCTGTGTACTAGGTACAGTTCTAATTGCTTTATAAATATTAAGTCATTTAATTCTCCTAAAAGCCTTTTGAAGTAGCACTGTTATTATTATAGATGAGGTAACTGAGACACTAAGAACTTAAGTTACTTGCTCAAGGTCACATAGCTGGTAACTATCAGAGCCAGTGTGTGACCCCAGGAAAACTGGTTTCAGGGTCCAGGGACTTAACTAATCCCTGGGCTGTATCTCTCCAGGAGCACTAGGGCATGTCACCAG